GGGGGAACTAGCTTGAATTCTCTGAAGGCCTCTTGGTTTGCTGAAGCATAATAAAAGCACTTTCACAGAGGGATGCAGTTATGTGTTGCAGTTTGTCTTTGTAAACCCAAACAGTTGTCTCTTTTGTGCAAAAAAGGCACTTTGAAGAAGCAAAAAACATCTTCGTATGCAGTGACATCAGTTGCAAAGACTTGCAAACTTGTACAGCAAATGACGTCTTAAGAGGTCAAATATTCAAAAAATCTTCTTTGGAATCTTAAAAGTGCTCTATTTGTAAATGCTTTTATGACATTAAATTACAAAATGAGCAAAAGATCAAATATTATGAGTCAGAAGAGCTATAAGAAAATGCTCAGCCTTTTAAACAGAAAAAAATAGCTTATAAATAATTTATTTATTGATATGAGTGTAAAGTTTCATCATTCTTTGCTGTAAATTCACTGTATGACAGCTAGTAGTCATAGAAGTGTGTGGGGGAGGAATCAACATGCATATTACAAATCTATTACACCCATATTACCCAGTTATATATTAATATGTCAAACATTGTGGCATGAACTTTGTTCCATTGTTGCATTCTAACTGACATTTTCTGTACTAGCGGCTGTTTAAAAAAAATAGGAGCACAAGTACAAGTACAAGAGGAATCTACTCATGAAAACAAATTGACAAGTTAAGTTACTCACTGTTTTAATGAGGTTTCAAATGCTAGTTTTTCTTTGCTAATGTTAGTTTTGACTGGGTAAAAGATTTCAACACTGCGCCCAAGAAGCATCCACAATGTGGATCCTTAAACTTCGTAGTCCTTAAACTTGATTTTCCTTCAGTCCTTCATTCTACAATTACAACATATGAAAATATTTACATATTAAATTGGTATTAGGAACTGGGGATCAGTTATTCATTAAGCTCCTGTGTGAAATATGTGGTTTCTTCTCCTTCAAAAATGACTTTTCATGTCCCACATCCCATTGCGGTGAGGTCGGCTACTGTCTTCATCCTCTTCGATGATGCTTTGATGATAAAATATTGAGAATCTCGAACTGTCACAAATCTTCACAGACAGAGAAACAAAAACATGAGAGACTTGATATGTACAAAAATATCCACCTTGTTCACGAATTAAAGCTTTCTGGATGAAAACATCCTAAATACTGGATTGCTATGGATTCATTATTTCCCCTCGGCCTGTAATTCCTTTCAGTTCTGATCAAATCTGATTCATCCGTAAATCCGCATCAAAGGTATCCATGTTTGCTTGGCACACAATAGACCAATGGTTGTGAGCTCCTCAGAGTTCCATAGCAAAAGCCTGTCATGTATGGACGATTGACAGATATTACAGCTTCAACCGACACTATACAGACTCAAAAGATGAAACAGGACTTGGATGTTGACATAGGTTATTTTCTAGCTCTAGTTCTAAGGAGTTTGGTCCTCTGAGCGCTCATGTGGCCGGTGTTTCAGCCTGCAGGCTGGACATGCGGATCTGTGAGCTGCTCTTGCTGAGGATGGAGAGCTGTGTGCCCCCATTCACACCACTGCTGGCCAGAGACGGATGCCTGTGCTTCATATCCACAGCAAAGTACCGGTTCACCGTCCAGCTGCGCCATTTTCGTTTGATTTCTGACTGCACCTTTGGGGAGAAACTTCAGTGGGTTATTAAGCTGATTGGATCCTACAGGAGGAGATCTGCAGATCTCTTTCCATGCTGCCCATGGACAAGCTTGAATTTTAAATCCAGTTGGTTAATAATTTACATGTAAGGCCATGTAATGAGCACTGCAGTGAGAAAGGGCCTCCAGAGACACTGCTTTATGCAAATAGAATGCAATTTGGATGTTTTCTAGGTAGAATTTATAATAATGAAAGCATATTTGATCAAACGCAAAAAATAAATAAATAAATTTATATTAAAATGAACATGCTTTTAGAAAGAAAGAAAGAAAAAGAAAGAAAATATAAATGTATCTTGATTTTTCCCATAGGAGTCCATTCGAACTGTGGTAACTGGGTTTTGTTAAACCAAATTGCACACTTTATTTTTCTTTTCAATAGCACTTAAAGGACTTACCTCTCCATTAAGAAAGCAGTAAAGGACAGCTACTACAAAACCCTGAGAAGAAAATAATGACATCAAAATAATACAGTACACACAAAATAATAACTATAGACTATAAATTACAGTGCACAAAATACACATGAAATCTAAATAAATAAAATGAAATCATGTTGTTTCTTTGTACAAATATGAGAAGACAAAAGGGGGCTTCTACCTGAAAAGAACCAAGACCAAGTTCAAACACGAGTCTTTCTCTTTTGCTGACATCTTCTGGTGTGAAAGCAAACACGGTATAGTGAATTCCAAACAGAGGAATGAGGAGAAGAGTGGAGCGAGCCAGACGCCTGTCAATCACACAACACACCAATCAAGTCATAAAAAGACTCCACATCTGATTGTGATGATGTTCATCGTAGAAATTGGAAAATATAAAAAATATTGTGGTATATGTATATGTATATGTGTATGTATGTGACTAACAGATAAATGCTGGACTCATTCCCTCCAATATCTGGAGACTGCAACTTCTGCACCAGGATTATAATGATGCCAATAAAGAGTATAAAGTTGATCTGAGAGCAAAAAAGACAAGAGATATGGTGTATAATTATTTCTGCCCTGCTGAATGAATCAATACAATAATACAGTAGTTTACAGTCAAACGTCTTTTGCGATGGAATATGTACTATCCTTACCATGATAGAGGCAAGAACAGGACCCTTGATCACCCACCAGATGGCAGCATTGTCATTAATATCCCAGCAACTGCAGGCAATGTCAGACATTTATCCAATTTGATTGGTTTTTCATTTTATTTTTAAGCTTTTTTTTTTTAATTACATAACATATAAGTTATAGATATTATTTAAAAAAAAAAAATCCTTTATCTTACCCAATGTTATCAAAATGAGCTCTTAAGACTGCCCAGACAGCCACACAGATTGTTGGAGTACCTGGAAAAACATGAACAATCTAAATAAACATGAGTAATTTCAGATTTTCACATGATATAACAAACACTTATTTTATGAATTTTTACAAACACATATTTTGCTTTATATATACAAAATATATGTATGAAATACATATGATGTATTTTTATATTTTCTAATATATATCCTCCTGACTACCAGGAAAAAAAAAGTTTTGTGAATTTAGTATTTTGTCATGTCATTACATTGTTTAGAGCATAAGAAAAAAATTGAAAAGTAACATTTTTGGAAAATTATATTTTATTCATGTTATGCTATGTCCTCTGTAGAGGACATCGGGACTTTAAAAAGTCCTGATTTTTAAAAAATAAAAAGACGTGAAAAGACATGAAAAGGCAAAAACTTTTTTTTTTTATCACAAATCAATTTTCATTTTTAATACCAAACATTATGTAAAGATGATTCTCAACTATGTTATGAAAGATATTTTTAAAGACCATTTTTCTTTATGCAAAATGTGTGTAAAATGGCCATAAACCAGTTTTCCCATTACATACAATGTATCTATAAACTGTATCTAATTTGCATATTCATGTGTTTTTGGGGCAACATAGAATGAACAAATAAGTGCAATAATTGGAGTAATAATGGGCAAGATTTTAATAATAATATCTCATATTTCATATGAATATTGATATATACATTTTTTTCTCTGTTCCCAATATGTGTAATAAACATGCTTTAAGTTCTGGTGTCCTCTACAATGGACATGTATGAAATCGAGGTCCTGTTTCATAACAGAAGGTCATATTTTGATTTGAAAATAATAAAATAAAATAATAATGTATGATTTATTTTATACATACATATTTTATATTTACACAAATGTGATTTTATACATAAATATACTTATATATAGTTTTTGTGTATATTTAAAAAAATTTTCAGTTAATGTTTATTTTTAAGTAACCTTTTTATGGTTTTAGAAATAATAACTATATAAGCTACATTAACCCTGGTCTTACCCCATCCAATAATGGTGTACCAGTAGAAGTATCTTTTCTCAGGAAAGAAGGTCTCAACAAGCAGCGTAAAAAGATACAAGCCCT